TCATACACATCCAATGAGCTATTTTTTATACCAATATTTTGAAAACTGAAAAAAATCTAAGATAAAGTAATTAACCATCTTTGAGAGAACTATATATTATACAATGATGTTAGTCTTTCATATTTTTTATACTGTTCGATTTGTAGAAACCTCAACAACTACTTTGTTTTAAGGAACATAGTGTGTTATGACAAAGACCATAAGCAAAAATTTTAAAAATATGATTATGTCGTTTAATAAAATTTTATGTGTGACATCTTGATCGACTGCTAAATTATATAGCCCCTTTAAATTTTATCGTAATAAAAAATTTTATATAAAATAAAAATTTTTAACTATTACTATATTTTGTATTGTAATATCCAAAATCACAAAAACTGCAGGAAAAACTAGCAAAGATAGAGCTGGAATACACCAACAAAAAATTGGTTACAGGAAGATTTCCAATTACTGGCATTATAATAAAAGAAATTTTTATAGAATAAGAAAATAATACAATAGATTGGTTGACAAGGTTAACAAAATAATGGAAAGAATATTTAGTGACATGAATTAGGATTGCAAACTGGATGACCAGTATCTGGCGAACAACTATCACAAATAAAATTACAAGTAGGACCACAATCAACAATGCATGGTGTATTAGCAGTGAAACACGCATCAAAAGTAACCCATGCTAGACAGTCAGTTGCTGAATAAGGATATGCACAATGAGTAGTATCTTTTGGCATACAAGGAGGATTACCACAAGTGACACTACAAGGAATCCCAACGTAACAATCAGTAAAAGTGGCACGTTTGAAATCAGTAGAGAAAATTAATGGAGACGCCGAAACAATGGCAAGAAAAGCCAAGACAAGCAGAAAAAGACCAAATTTCATCTAAGAAATACGCGAAATTAGAAATAACAGAATGAGTAAACACCAAGTAAATTTATATATACCGTAAATTGAGAGGGAAATCCCTTGAAAAACTTGATGAGCAATGAATAATTTATATTAAAATCAAATGGACAAAGGTGATACAGAAATCATTGAAGAATATTACTAAATAAAACTTGAAAGCAATGAATGATTTATATTAAAATCAAACAGATAAAAAGGAAACTGGACGCCCAAAGGTGGTTAATTACTTTATCTTAGATTTTTTTCAGTTTTCAAAATATTGGTATAAAAAATAGCTCATTGGATGTGTATGA